AGATCTATTTTAAGCAATTAATATTAATTACTTTTATATGACTACATATTAATTACTTTTATATGACTACTTAAATCATCACATAGTGAGTAAGTATGAATTTCAACGGCATTTAACTAATTACATCAAAATAAAATTTTAATGATTACATAAACTACTAGGGAGTAAGTATTGATTGTATATAAATTTTCAAAAGAATACATTAATAATAAACTATTAATTACAATTACATAAATTCTATTAACTATCAGACAGTAAGCATCAAATTCCATTAAATATTCATTGTTGAGTCAGAATTTCACAATTAATTATTGTCATGCTTTAACCGATTTTATAAATTATCAGGAGGTGAGCATAAAAAATTATATTCATTGTTGTGTCAGAATTTCTTATTGAACTACTGTAGTATTAAATAATAATTAAAATTATCAGGTTGTAAGTATATAGAGTTATTTATTTATAAGTTTTACGGTTAATTATAATTATAAATTATTCAATCATATAAATATATCAACCGATAGAAAGTTAGTATAAACTTAAGCTTAATGAATTTTTCGAATTGATAATTATTTTTGAACATGGACCAAAAGTTTTCTAGTACATTATTTTTGCCGTTTGTACATTTTACGCTCGTTATAACTGACCCAATCTTACTTTATCTAGAAATAGTTTAAAATTATTATTATACTATATGAGTGTCGCTAAAAGAAAACCCGAAAATTTAATATGACTTATATGTAAATTTTCGGGTTTTCTTTTAGCGACAATCATATATGCTAGGGCGGATATTTATTATAACGGTGGAATTTCCCAGCTAGATAATTCTATTATAGCGTGGTTAGAGCGTAGTGTGATTAACCGAATTAAAATTAAACATTATTATCATTCACATTGGTTTATGTTCAAAAATAGTTATTAAATACTTAAACTGCTAGTCTATCTAATATATTGATAGTAAAGAAAACTTTTATAATTGTAACATTATTGTTATTACATTATGTAAATGTAATAAAATCTGCATGATCGAAACTAACTATATATACATTTCGATCTTATATGATATTGCGTAACAGTACTTAATGTTCTACTATGATCATTTACAGGTTTTCACTCTGTAAAATTCATATTATCAATCAATTTACAGTTTTCTTACTATCATTCATAAAACTCCAGATTATTGATTTTAATTTTAATTCAATCTACTCTTTTATATTATCATATAGGATATTGCCTAAGGGGGCATATTCTAAATTGTTTCCATCTGCCGAAAATTATGTTAAAGAATATAAAATGCGATATGGATCATCAGATAATAATATAGATGACGACGATTGGCACAAATCTCGTAATGCTGAACGATTTCTTCAAAACTTTCAAAATTGGACAAGTGGTAATCAATATATAGATGAATTAATTAAAGATACACAACTTACTGCAAAAAGTGGGCAAGATGTTTTGGAATGGATTCCGTATGAGCATTTAGAGGACATCAATCATTTTTCCGATGGAGGTTCAAGCACTTATATACAAAGCTATTTGGATTAATGGACCCATTGTCGGATGGAACGATGAAATAAATGATTAGCATCGACTTCAAGAATCTATTAATGATAAAAAGACTGGTACAATAGTTGCGTTGAAAAGTGTTCAAGATTTATCAACAATAAGCGAAGTAAGAATTTTTTTACATGCTTGTAGTGTTAATGTGATTTTTGGAATATTCATTTATTTTCGTAATTTTACATATTGATATAGTGGAAATTTAATTTACGACTTTTTAAAGAAGCACATGTTTCGCAATCATCTATGGAGACTTTCGTGTCAGAAGAATCCTTGTTTCCAGCTTTTGGTGTCACACAAGATCCGAAAACATTGGCATATTTTATTGTAATGCCTTACAGTCAAAAAGGAAATTTAAGAGATAATTTAGGACAGATTTCCAAGTTGAATTGGAAAACTAGATTAGAGTATTTATTAATGATTATCAATGGAATTGTTGGAATTCATAGATCTAGTTTGTTTCATGGCAATCTGCATAGCGGAAATATACTTTTTTATGATGAAAACAAATTATTAATCAATGATCTTGGATTGTCACGTAATAAGAATGAAGAGAACAAAGAATTATACGGGATACTTCCTTATATTGCTCCTGAAATATTAAAAGGTGGTAAACAAAATAAAAAATCCGATATTTTCAGTTTTGGAATGATCATGTGGGAGATAGCATCTGGTGAACCTTCATATAATGATATTCCTCATGATTCTCATCTTGCCAGTGTTATTTATTCTGGAATTGTACCCAAAATCCCTAATGATGTGCCACGATGCTATGCATCCTTAATGAAATTATGCTTAAGTAAAGACCAACATAAAAGACCAATGGCTGAGGATGTGAAAATGAATATCATTGCTTGGTTATTTTATTATTATTTTGATGATGAAATTAATAGTCTTAGTAATGAAGGATTTAAGAATACATTCTTACAGTTTCTAAATGCAGACAAACTTTTAAAGTCTAAAGAAGAAATAAATCCAACTTTAATTCGCCATCCTAAAGCATATCATATTAGTCGGCTTATTTATTTTCCTGAATTGAAAGCTCATTTTGATTCTGAATATGGCCTCTGTCCGGATTGCAATCAACAAAATACGTCTGATAATTGGTGTAAGCCTTGTAATGCCGAACGTTTTCGTCAAAAATTTTTCAAAATGGACAAGCTGTAATGAATATATTGATAAATTCATTCAAGACTCACAACTTACTGGCGAAAGTAGATTTTTAGAATGGATTCCATATGAAAATTTAAAAAATGTTACATACGCTGCTGAGGGTGGTTTTAGTACTGTATATAAAGCTATTTGGGTTGATGGAAGTATTCAAAATTGGGATCGTGCCAAAAATGATTGGCATCGGCAAAAATACATTATTGATGAAATTAATTGGAAGGAGAGACACGAACCATCTGATTATGATGATGATGATTCATGTAAAGGTCGTATCGTTGCATTAAAACGTCTTCATAATTCTTCAACTATTGATGGCAACTTCCTAGAAGAGGTAAGCTGAATCCATTATTGTCCTACGTTTATACATGAATAGAGTAGGCAGGTGTAATATGTGATCTTAATTAGCATCCTACATAATCACATTCTTCCAACCTGCTCTATCCGTGCACAAAACTGCTAAATAGGTTTGAATTAACTAAATTTGATAATATTAAGACAAAATACAGTGTTATATAACTGTTAAGAATTTAAGCTACGGTTGTTAGACGAAATTGGTTTTGACATTAATTAAAGTTGAAATAAGTTTTAGCTTTTGTTAATTGAAATTATATGAGATTCTAGAAATTGAACTACCATAATCGTCAAAATTGTAAAAAGGTGGTTTCTACTTTTGATATAATAAGAAAATAATTTCGTCGAACAATTATAGTTGAAAATTAATTTATTATGACTAGTTCATTTAATGCTCTTATTATAAAGTTGTATTTTTTAATTTATTATTTTTATTTATTTATTTATTTCGGATTACAGTGGAAATACCATTATCAAACTTCAAATCAAGGTGCAGTAGTAGTACATTTGTATGGAATTACCCAGGATCCTAAAACCTTTGATTACATGGTAGTGATGGTTTATGCTGAAAGTGGAAGTTTAAGAAATAATTTACAGCAAATTTATAAAAAGAAATGGGAAGTAAAATTGAATATTTTACATGCTATTATAGGCCAATTGAACGTCATTCACAAAACAAATTTGATTCATAGAGATTTACATAGTGGTAATATTCTTATCACCCATTCAACAGTTGAATATGAAGATTATTATATTGCACAAGTCAGCGATTTTGGATTATCTCGACCAGTAAATTATAAAGATGATCAAATATATGGAATACTGCCGTATATAGCTCCTGAAGTGTTAAATTCCAAGAATTACACTACTCCTGCAGATATTTATAGCTTTGGAATGTTGATATTTGAACTCGCATCTGGTGAACCCCCATTTAATAATATTTCACTGATCTCTCTCTTGTCAAAAGAATTTGTTTGGATTTTAGGCCTGATATTCCTGACAACACACCTCAATTTTATGGGTTATTAATGCAGTGCTGTTGGCATCAGCAGATTTATTGAAAAATATTTTGCATATTTTGATGAATTATAGAAGAGCAAAAACAGATTATGCAGATGAACGTGCCAAACATCTCATTTTGCAATTTTTAGAAGCTGATTCAAAATTACCACCAACTATTAGAAGGATACACCATCCTGAAGCATATTATGTTAGTCGTTGCCTTCCCAAAATAGAAGACTCTTTTGAAAGAAGCAAATCAATTGAAATTCTTGATTCTCAAGGCATGTTTGCAATGATATCTATTAGACTTTTCATATAAGATTTGAAAACTTACATTTTGATTATTATTTTGGCGTTGTTAACAGACCAACCTAAGCAAGACTCCATTGATTTTGGTAAATTTTGTATTTCCTTATTATTAATTTGATATTAAATTTAATTTTGTCCGTACATATTTACGTACAGTACGTAATGTACTGTACATTCACTCAATCAACTCTACGAAATTTATGGATTTAAAACATTTCATCATTTTTTTCATTTTACATTTTATTGGAATTAAGACTTATGCTTGGGATGATTTGACTAGTGGAGAATGTATTACTCCAAGAGATGTCCCGTCAAGTAGTCCTTTAGGTTGTTTTATTTTGAATAATGGTTCTTCAGACAACCTGAATGGTCTTTCGAACTTGGGTTTTCCTCCTGTTTATAAAGACCGTTATGGATTCATAATGGATCCAGGATTGTGCATCACCAGATGCACTGACTATCTCTTCGAGGTTGCCGCCCTCAAGAATGGCAACCAGTGTCAATGCGGCAGCAAAAGTAACTTAGTAACATCATATACTAAAGTAAATGACTCAATTTGTAATGTCACATGTATCGGTAACTCCAGTTATTTTTGTGGGGGTAATGAAAGCTATACTGTTTATGACACAAAAACTGGAATTCTAGGTCATCCACTACCTACTATAAGTGCTACTGATAAACTTGCAATAATCAAGAATCTTAATAACGATAATAGATACCAACAATGCATTAAAGATAGTCCCTATTGTGATCAGAGGGTGTTGAATGGCACATCAAAAGAGCTTTCAGGCATGACGGTGGATAAATGCATTGATTTTTGTAGACAAAACAACTTTACATATGCAGGACTTGAGATCGGAACGCAATGCTTCTGTGCAAATAATTATAATCATATAAATCAGATAAGCTCAGATGAATGTAGTACTAGTTGTGCTGGAAATAACCAGCAAATTTGTGGAGGTCCTTTAGCGATTAGTGTGTATAGTACTTCCAAACTCAATGAAACCAGTACTTATAAATCCGAAGACCCCAAGCATCTATTAGAGATTATTCTTCCTATTGGAAGTCTTATCTTAATTGCCTTAATAGCAATTGCAATTATTTGGTATCATCGCAGATATAACCTACAATTCTGTTGCAGGCCAATACCACCACCACCACCACCACCACTACGACTAGATTGATCAATGACACCAATTGAACAAGCTCAACATAACTAAAGATCCAAGTTATAGAACAGAATACAAATTCATATCTTTTAGTTATATCTTTTTAAAATAATAATTTAATTTGGTTATTTAACAATATCTAAATCCAATTTGTTTTCTTATATTTATTTGTTTCGAATGTAAGCTTTATTACTGTATTATATACTTTTAATTCTACCTCTTTATGATAACCACTTAATTTTATGATTTAACAATATCTAAGCCAAATTGTTGGTTCTAAGGTTGTTTGTTTCGAATATAAACTTTATTAGTGGATTATATTCTTGCACTTTCTGCATTTTTGAAATAAAAAAAAACAACTTGTAGTCTAAAATTGAGTCTTGTATATCATAAAGTTTATTTGATTTGTTAAAATTATGCATATGATTGTGATGATTATTGTTACGGACAGATTTAATCATTATAACATTTAAACACTCCTAACAAAAGAATCTCTCGTGAGATATTACTATTTCAGTGATCCAGAACTTTCCCAATTGAGACGTACGATCTGGTCGAATACAATAAATACTCCTACCATATTTTACTATTATCCTTTAAATCCATTATCTTGGGGTCTTTAAGCTTTAGGTTCAATAATACGAGACAAACTTTATAAACAATAAAGTCAGCAAGTTGTAATGGTGTAAACAGCTTGAAGGCATCCAATTTATTGTTATTTTCTTAAATAGTATCTACTTAATAAAATTACAATTGCAAAGAAAATAGTAATACCAGGAACGGAGTTTTCCGTAAGTGAAAACAGAGAGTAGGGTTTACCAACATGTTCAAGGATATTCATCACAAAATCTCGCATTTGGTTTGATGCCACAGTTGGCTATGATTTCTAAATATGTAAATACAGATAATTTCAGGTTTGCAGATTGAATCAAGAGAACCATTTAAAGCACTACCATGTGACTAAATGTGGCAAAACTTTAATGCATAGTGCTGTATTGAAAAAATTATTGATATATAAATTCAAAAGTAAAAATATATAAAGAAAAAAATCTTATAAGATCATTAAGATCAATTTCAAAAACCAGGATATCCAAATATCCATTAAATTTTAAATGTGCAAACAGATAACAGATCGCATCTCTATTAAAAAGCCCCTGAATAATAAGTTTTTCATGAATTAATAACATTTTGGTTGACAAATTAAATTTAAATTTTAACATTTCTATAACCTTTTATATTTTTATTGTTAAACTAATATTAATTAGGTATAAAGCATTTGTATTAACCCTTGATTTTAAATATTTTTGTAGTACAGAATTTTATTAAATTTTAGATCATTAGAAATTATGATTGATACGTATTAACAAAAATTATACTTAAAAATGTACTTAGTATAAAACATTTTGCAAGAATTTATACCAAATACTTTATATTCACTAAAATAATCTATCAAATGCATCTTTAAACAACCAAAGTTAAATATATTTTTTTTTTCAAATTCTGAATACAGGTGTATAAAATTCTAATAAATTCAATAAAGAAACTCCAATATAGTGGGTTGACAAACTCTACTCATTATATTTCTAACCAAAATAAAACTTTTAATTTTCTTTATTCACTAGAATTCAAAAGTTTAATATATTAGCAAATATTAATAATATATATTAGCAATATTAATAATTTAAAAGTATAAAAGAATTAAATAAATCTTCATTCAACTTTGATCATTTTTAAACACTTAATAACAGATCTACTATCTAGTACAAAAGTTCTAATAAGAAAAATAGAATATAAAAAAAATATATATACTAAAGTCTATATACTAGATTTAAAAATTATATGCATATAACTTTAGAATCTTGCATATCTTATATTTATTGCTTTTTAATTAAATCTATAAACAAATTCAAAGTACCAAAAAAGAAAACTTCATATAATCTATGCAATTAATATACTTGGACTATTTTATTAATTATTCTTTTTTGAAATATCTTCTTTATACTAAATATAGAGTTTTCAGTTTGTTTGTTTGATCATTATTAGAAGCTACTTTTTTGAGTTTATTCCAAAAGACTTTTATTTCTAACAGAGTATATCTAAATTAATATAGACCTTCTACTTACAATTTTATCTTTAATTTTAGCTAGCCAAATTATTTGGTAGCTTCACATATTGTTATATTCTTTATTCATTATATCATAGTATAAGCTTTTCTATTATAAAAGTAATAAACAATACTAATTTTTCACTTTTTATTAAAAATATTAAAAAATTTTAAAAATAACAAGAAAAATTATTGTTTGTATTTGTAAGTATCCAAGACAAAAAAGGTATTTTTAGTTGTTTTTTTGATACTAAAAATCTTTAATACTTGGGCTATATAAAATTTTTTACTATTACTACTATTACAAAAATAATCTTTTGATTTAGATACCAAATATGTAAAGAAATTTGCCAGAAAAGAAGCTTAATCTAAAGCATAAACCAGTCTAATATATCTGCTTTTCAATATTTTATATATAAAATTTTTATTAACAATAGTATCATTTTACCAGAACTACAAGTATCCTAGAATTTTTTAGATCTTAAAACTTTAATTTGCTTTTAGTGCAGTCTTGGTTCAAGTGATCATTAGAAAGAATTTATATATAAATATTATAAATATTATAAAATACTTATATATGGGCTAGGTGCTGAGAAAAGGGATGAAATTGACAATTTTTTTAAAAGATGTTTTTTTACATAAATCAATTTATAATGAGATTAAAAGCATTTTTATTTAATACACAAAAGTAGTTGTATTAATAAAATGTTGCA